TGCTGTCAGGCGTGGTTCTCAGATTTGCCGATGGCAGCCTCTTTTGAAACGCAGAAGACATTATATCACATTGAGTGACTTGGTGCACTTTCGAACTGAAACAGCGGCACAGTGCGATCGACCAAAAAGGCGAAGGCGTCTAGAAAACTCAAACATGCAAAGCAAACTCAATTTGTCGAGTAGTCTTTCTGGATCCGACCAATCCCATGAAAAGCAATTCTTTCCCAAAGCTACGGCACACCAATTTCCTTTGGATCACATCCTGGATGGATTCCTCTATATGCACGAAGGCTGTTTCATGCCTTACCACTGTGAATGGCACATGTATTGATGCCGGTGCAGGGTGCTGCTGTGAGATGCACATGGCTGTGTGCGCTTTGAAGCTTGGGTGCTGGTGCCTCTGCAGGGTGTTGCTGCCAGATGTCTATGGCAGTGGAGCCTGTGTGTAATGTTTTTTGCGGGGTCTATGCTGGCGTAACTTGTCCACGTGCATTCTTCGCCTGCAGAATCCGTGCAAGTGCACAAATACTTCGCCTTCAAAGCGTCACACTTTCCATCCGATGGAAGGCGAAATTCCTGGTATAAATCACGCAAGCTTCAATAAGACGCCTCAATAAATAGGGTGAACTAGACCATTGATCACTGCACGCTACAATGGAATCTTCTTCAGACTCTGAAAGCTTCAACTCAAAGTGCCCTGGCCATGAGAAGCGAGGCATCGTTGAATGGTTCAACCGATTGCCCCAGCGTTTGTTCAGCCCTGCTGACCTCAAGTTTGTGTTCGCACCCCGAGAGTCCAGACCTCCCTCCAGTTGCAATTCAACGGCGGAAGGAGCCCCAAGTCGTTTTGGAACCCATTTTGTGGCTCCCGAGGCTTGTCGGCTCTACAGCGTGATGCACTCAATGCCGACAGTTGGGCGAAGTGACAGATTTCGATGTCGCACTGAGGTTTGGAACACGAACTCGAGCTAACGTTTCGGGCTGTTCAGGACATTCCAGTTCTGATGGTCTGCTTCTGTTTGTTTGTGCAACAGCAGGAAACCAGACGCGAAGGGCTCAGAGGCGTGGTGCTGAGTATTTATTCTTGGTTCTTTCAACACGTATCATAAAAAAAGAGTAAGACAGCTCCCGATTTGTGCCGGATCCTCACTTGCAGAATGGAATGAAGATGCTCCAAGCGCACGGCCCGTTGCTGGGAACTTGGTGAAGGAGTTGCCGTCAAAGCTTTCCTGTCCCTGCACTGGGGTGCGCTTGTTAAGGTCAACACCGGAGAAGAAGTCTCCTTGTCGTCGCCAGACTTTGCTTCAAACAGTTTTTGAGTAAAGATCCGCGGAATGCACCTGATAGCGATGGCCTCCAACCTTTGGTAAGTTTCCCTAAAATCTAGGAACCAAATGAATAGTGAAAGCATGAGCTATCCTGCGTCCTGTCGGTAGTAGCTACTTAAGCTACTAGCGACCCGACTCCCTTGCTTCTACTAGCTACCTCTGGCTACTACCCCCTCTAGGCCTTTCCCCTAAATAAAAGAAACAATTGGGGAGTTCAAATGCAAGATCCAAGCACCATCAGCTTTGCAGCGACACATGTTTGAGGTTAGAGCTTCAAGGGTCCGTTCGGACGAGCTACGGCAAGGACTGGTCCCTCTTCAACGAGCTAGCCAGACAAGCAGACTTGACAGAAATAGCAAGCAGAATGGGATACTGGACAGTGCTGTGGTAAAACAACATAGTGTGACTAAGTTCCTGAATTGTAGGCACATTCACTCGTGCTGCGAGTACCATGGGCGTTCGCCTAAGCGGGCATCCGTGGAAAGAGTGAATAGCGCACTCAGAACATCCCAATACTGTATTTCCCCTTCAGTCAGGCCTTTGTTGCAGCCTTAGCCAACGCATTACGTTTTCACCTGAAAAAATTGGGCAAAAGGCCCATGAAATGATTTATGCTAAGGAGATTCTGCCAGGCTCTGCTACAGGCTCTGCCCCAGGCCCTGCTCCGGTCCTTCTTCACCGAGTCACAACATCTCTTGCCAGGTGGGTCCACTCCATCAAGGCCATGCACGCTCGTAACCAAGAACAAGAGCCTTGAGAGAACAAGTACGTTTGTTTTTTTTCCAAAAAGAACACGAAGCACAAGACACTTTCAAAAGACATCTGCAGTCCAGGCCCAGGCTGGAGACACCCTCTGTGTCGGGATCCTACCACTACACTGAAAGTAGTTGTTATTTGTGTTCTGCGTTCGATTCACTCATGGAACCATTTCAAACTATGCAGGGATGCTGGCTTTGCTTCTGCTGGTGAAGGTGATCAAACTGCAAATGGACTGCATTGTCTCACATCAAGTTCCTTCATTTGTACACCCCTAAAGAGAACGGCTAGTGCACTTCCGACTTCCCCTTCGCTCTAGACACGTTTCCGCACATTTGTGTGAACGTGCACTATAAGCTTCTAGTAACAAGGTGCATCGCTACTAGCAAGATGCGGGGGGATTTTGTGCACTCTGTCGTTTGGTAGGTGATACGCCTCGCTGGACTCGTTGGAGCGATGGCAAGCGGAGGCAGAGTGAAGAACCGATGGCAGCTGCGCCATGCTGTACGGGTCAAGCGGGTAAAAGGGTGTACAGATTGTACAGTAACACGGTGTGTACCCGGTGCCTGTTGCAAACCCGAGAGGCCCAGCATTATACTGTAGTCATCATCACTCACGCCTGCTTCCCCATTATCACTTTTGACAACCACGACAAAACGTCACCCGCTACCCGCTTAATTGGAGAACCTTTCGATCTGCAAATCAACATGAGCAAGCTACCCATATTCTGCAACATGAACGAGTGCGCTGCAAAGCTTTAGGTCTTGGCCACTTGATATTCAGCCTGGCAAACAAGTACCTTTTGATTTGATTTACCTTCCCAAGCAGTCCTGCAGTGCAAACTTCAGGGCACCAGGCTGCAAGATGACGGGCGACCATTGCGCCAAACTCATTACGATGCCGGAAGCTCAAAGCGTTTCTTTGAAGCCTGAGGCCATGCCTTGAATATTTGCCTTCAGGACTGACATCCGAAATGTTCGTGCGCTCTCTGAAGACAGCTTGGAACTAACAGCAGCTATATAACTACGTGCATCTTAGAACTTATATACCTGACCCAACTCTACTAACCTCATCTCACCTCATCTTGCCTTTTTCCCAACTAATCGGCTCAGTTTCCTCAAATAGCCCCTGGGCTGCTGGTTTGTGGACGAGACCGTTCGATGAAGGAACGGGTGCCAGAAACACTGCTACTGCAGAGACTACCTGCTGGAGATTTAGGCACAAACGTTGTTTTTTTGATTGAGGTATTCTGTGCCTCAACGATGGACATTCTCTCATGGGCTTAGCGATGAGGCGGTGGCTAAAGGGTTTAGAAAGCTGCGAAGGTTCTTGGAATGCTCCTGACCCGGTCTGACACCTAAAGCTTTGCATATCTTTGCATCTTTTTTTTGCGCCTTTGATGATCGGTACTTTGCTTATTGAGGCCAATCGACAGCAGGGAGCCCAGCTTTACTTCCATTTTGGAAGGTTTTACAGAACCCTGCCTCAAGGCCCAACAGATCTGAGTAGTTGCGCTACGTGGAAGAGGAATGCGCTCATGACTCAGAGCAATAGGAAAAGAGCAGCTTGAGAAGATCCAACTTTTGATTCCAAATTCCATCAAGGGTCGAGAGTCTAAAGTCCAAGGCTTAAAGCAACATATTAACATAGTTGTATTTCCACTCTTCCCCCAAACTGAAGGGATTCTTGCAAAGAGCGCAATGTCAAGGTCCACACGTAAGGTTGTGGACCAATGTTGTTCACTCTGGCGTCGCAGTGATTCTTACGTGTGCAGGTACAGACAAACTTGTCGTGGAAGAAATGTCTATTCGTTTAGTATAGGGTACAATGCCATGGTTGCGCAAGATAGACCGAATAGATGGAAATGGGTCACAATTCGTTTGATTCGGTGAGCATTCTAGTGTTCTCAAGATTCAGTATGCTTTTTCGCTGTGACGCTGTGGAATGTCAGTGCTGCAAATGGCTTTGAGAGGTGGCAGTAAATGCGAGGTTGCATGTGGGAGGGTTCATGTAAGTTCAATGCTCTCAGACATGCAGAATGAGCACCTTCTGGTATGCTTCCGGAATCCGAAGCCGGTTATATGCGCTCCACTCTTCAAGTCTGACCATGTTTGACCTGCGACAGTTTATGGTTATCAGTGTCATAAGTCATAAGTACTCTATTGAGTGTGACCATTGAGTGTGCATTAAGTGTAGCGTCACTATGTAAGGCTGTAAGGTTGAGCGAGCCAAGGGCTTGGGTTTGATCCATTACATCGCATCTGCAGTAGGCAATATCAGGAGAACTCTCCTTTCTAAAGGCCACAGGGTCAAACCTCTAGTTGAGCCGCAAGATCTTTCACCCAAGACGAATCCGCCTACCTTCACTGAAATTGAGGACACTCATGTCTGCCTTCCTGGATTGAACAGGCAGCTTTTACGGCCTGTCACTAAACAAGGTGGCCCCTGGTCACAACCAACATGGACCCGAGAAAGATGAGCAAGACAACATGACCTCAACACAAAATATGCATTTGCACCAATGTTTAAAGCTTCGTGAAGCAGTTGGGTATGTACAGCTTGCGATGGCGGAGTTTTGGGAGGTGAAGTGGTAGGTGCTGGAACTTCCTCACTGCACACAATTGTGTCTGGACACAACTGGAACTGTGCTCTTCCAAGCACGCAACGAACCATGCATGAAATGCCCTGCCGGTGTTTCATAGCTGGCTTGCATGTTCTGACACTTGGCGTGTTCACTCGTGTGTGTCACTTGTGCGTTCACTGTTTTTGGTTGATACGCTGGCAACTGTGAGGCGACCCGAGAGGAGACTTTGATCACCAGGTTGGATCAACATCTTCAGGCTGAGCCGATCAACATCTACTCTGATCCATCCGTGAGTGAAACTTGTGGGTTGACAGGTAAGACAGGAAGCGCGAATGTCTGACGAGGCTCAGAGCGTCTTGGCTGTGAGAATTTTGGAAGCATTCAATATGTGTTCTCTGCAGGAAGATGGCCACTTAAGGCTCCAAAGAGAGCTGCCACAGGGATGTCGTTTTCGCCCCAGTGTTTTTTTTTTTTTTTTTAATCTTCAGCATCGTTATTTCCTGATAGAACTATCTATCTATTTGTTTGTCTATTAGTCAGAATTGCTTGGGCTGCAAGGACTGGAGGACTATTTGACTGATATTCGTGAAGTGATTCGCTTTATTCGTCGAAGGCCTCAGGCTAAACAAAATGAAGCCCAAAACGAGACGACAGTCACAATGGACAACAAGTTGCAACAAGTTGGAAACGGGTGTTGAGTCTGTCCTCATTGGAAACGGTTGTTGACCGGAGTAGAAGAGGCAAAACTGCAGTGGTTGTTGAGGCCATGGTCTGCCCGCAGCTGCACGACTGCCGGGCGCTTTGGAATGTCAGTGGGATTCTTCCACAAGCTGGGAGAATTGTTGATAAACGAACTTTGACGCAGTTTCTGGTAGGGAAGTTGGCCACCAAGAACCAAAGTAGTAAGCTACAGCTTGTAGCCAAGGAAGCTATACACCACATTGTCACTACATGCAAGGATACAAAGATCCCCCCGGAAACTTCCTCCCTGGACCAAATGTTTCCCAGATTTTGGACAGTTGGGCAGCCTTGTGCAACAGCAACCTGAAATGTGTAGGAACAAGAAGCTACGAACAGGGCTGCCATCGCTACTAGGAGCGACGCTACGAACGGCTCCTGGCCGTACTAGGAGCAATGTTTGCGAAGAAACGGCTGTTCCTGCCACGGCTGTTCCTGTTTCGTTTCCGTTTCGCATCTCGAGTTCCGTCCTTTGGCCCCCCTTCGAACACGAGCTTCGCTTCAGGTCACATGAAGGTTCTTGTCCATCCGTGATCCCTACCGGTTCTCAGTAGGAGTTGATTTCTTCGGCTACAGCCCAAACTGGAAGGCTGTGTATGGGCTGTAGCTTGCTACATCGAGGGAACTGAAGCCATGCTCAGGTTATGTCAAAGCGTGACGCAAAATGTAGCGACGAACACCAGGCTTTGAATGTGTGTTGAAAGAAACTTCAGGTTGGAAGGGGCTGTGAAAGGTGCTGCTTTGACCTCAGACTGACCGAATTCGTTCTGCTGTGTTTTTGGACTCGGACAACCCCTGAAGATGCTAAATTGGTTGCAGATGCAGGTTTTGGCGGTTGATTCAGAATTGGAAGCTACACAGCAGGAACTGGCAAGACGAAAGGCGTGGAACTGGCACAGCTTTGCGCCGTGCGGATGCTGTCCAGACGCCCTTTTCTTCGTAGCAAACATTGCTCCTAGTACGGCCAGGAGCTACTAGTAGCGTCCTTGCTCCTAGTAGCGATGCCCTTTGCTCCTAGTAGCTTGTTCCTGGTCAAGAAGATGTGTGATACAAATTGCAGAGGTCAGCCAAGATGCCTTAGCAGAAGCTCACATGGAAATTGAGCAGCTGAGGCACCTTGTGATCTTGACCATCAGGGTTAAGAGGGGGAGATTTGAAAGCCCAGCTTGCGAAGCAGCACTTTGCAAGGGACGATTTGGCTGCGACCCAGCAACAGAATGCAGAGCTAAAGGCCAATTGTGCTTTAGATTCTAGATTTTGGTTGAACAGAATTTTTGAGAGAGGGAAAGAGGGGTGAAAACTGCTTCTCTGGCAGAAGCAACTCTCCATGGCGGACGATGTGAAGCAGACCGAGGTGCGGAGTGAAAGGCGGTTTCATATAGTTCAGCAAAGCTCAAGCTTCTCATTCTTCAACCTATTAATGATGGGCTCCAACCTACTAGCGATGGCCTCCAACCTAATAGCGATGGTCCAACCAAATAGCGATGATGGCCTCCAACCAAATAGCGATGATGGCCTCCAACCTAATAGCGATGGTCCAACCAAATAGCGATGATGGCCTCCAACCTAATAGCGATGGCCTCCAACTTAATAGCGATGGTCCAACCTACTAGCAATGGTCCAACCAAATAGCGATGATGGCCTCCAACCTAATAGAAGACGTTTTACACAGAAACAGTTTCTTCAGTGTCCCACCAGACGCAACCCTGTGTCTTGAGCACAGTATACACATGTATACACGATTTTGAAAGGCAAAACATGTCGTGCGAGAGTCTCGTCACGGTGGAGTCATGCCCATTCAAGCTCCCATTGAGGTCACATTTTGAACGTTGTTAGGTGTTCTTTTGCTCTAAATAGGGCCACATTTTCTTTGCTTTATGCAGTTTCGAAGATGCATGTGACTTGGCAGTTGAAATTTCCATCTTCTATGTCTTTGTTACCCTCTCCGTCACCAAGCGCCGGCAGCTCAGTCTCGGAAAGCAGAGAGATGCCGCAAAAGTATTTTTTCCAGCCCACGCGTGCAGCCAGCCTGCCATTGCAGACTCCGCGTGTCCACGGAACCAGCAACATATTAGAATGTGTCGCATTCAAAGCAACCGTGGTTTTCTTTGGCAACAACTTATTGCAAGGCCTCGGCGCATCTGCTGTTTTACCTGCCCTTTAGACCGAAAAGTGGGCTTATCTTCGGGAGCCAGATTGAGTGGTAATCCACTTAGTTACATCCACGCGCGTCCAGAATTATTGGATCACGGCACCCCCGTCAACTCTGGCTGATAGCGGGCCAACTTACAAAAGGTTAAGTCCATTTCATTATAACAAACATTGCCTTTCTGACCCTGGTGCCTTGGAGGTAATGAGATAGGCCTTGTGAAAGTGACAGTGGAAAGCTCAGGATTCCTCGCGATCTGTGATTCGAGCGCCCGTATAGAACTGACTGAAGGAGTTTCAAGGGCGTATTTTGTGCGTAAGATTATTTGCTCAGCCGCTGCAAACCTGATCAAGAAAAAAGAAAAGGGTTCCCTTCTAGTAGGGTCTTACTACCACCGTGCCCCTACGGTCTTAAAACTTTAGTTCCGCAATGCAGGCCGCAGGGCTGTTGCTGGTCTGCTGGCTTGCTTGTGTACTATGCTGCTGTTTGTCTGCTGGAAGCATGCTTACGGATTGCTTCGGGCAATGCCCTCCATTTCAATAGAGCAAACATTGCCCTTCTGACCCAGGTGCGTCGTAGGTAGTGAAATAGGTCTTGTGAAAGTGGAGTGACAGTGGAAGGTTCAGGGTTCCTCGTGTGTCAAGATGCCTGGGGCAGTTTGTTTGTATAGACAGCTTGAGTTGATCAGACAGTGGCACAACACCCGTTACATTCTCAAGAGCCATCACCATCGGTACGTAATAGCAAAAAGCCAAGCACCAAACGCCCGACATGTTAGAAACGAGCCAGGGCCACTTGGATTGGAGTAAAAAAGTACCAAAGGGTTCCACGGGCGGCGTGTTCTCGCCGTTTTCGTTTTTTTTTTTTGCATTTTTTCGCGTTGTTGCCGGTTGTCTCGGATCTCGCCGTTTTTCCGGCTTTCGCAGTCTTCGCGCCGGATGCTTGCAAATCCTCTGAGGAGACACCGCAAAAGACCATTGCGCAGGAAATGTAGGTATGTATGTCTGTATGTCTGTCTGTCTGTATGTAGGTATGTATGTATCTATTTTTTTCCTAAAGTTGTTCTTTTTGACCCAGCTGCCAGCCGCCGCCGCTGCCGAAGGTGGCCACACCCATGTTAGAAGAAGTCGACATTGACTGTCTCATCAGTCTCGTGGGTCCTTGAGATGCTTGTTGACCCGTTTCAACATAAGCTCCATTGAACCCGAACCCCCTTCGTGCCACTTGCATCGATATGCACGTTGATGACGTGGTCCGGCTTGTGACTTCCCAGTTTGACTGCCAAGATGAAGTGAAAGGCAAAAATGTCGTGCGAGAGTCTCGTCACGGTGGAGTCATGCCCATTCAAGCTCTCATTGAACGTTGTTAGGTGTTCTTTTGCTCTAAATAGGGACACATCTTTCTTTGCTTTATGCAGTTTCGAAGATGCATGTGACTTGGCAGTTGAAATTTCCATCTTCTATGTCTTTGTTACCCTCTCCGTCACCAAGCGCCGGCAGCTCAGTCTCGGAAAGCAGAGATGCAAGGAATCCAAGCATGTACCAGTTTAGAGAGAATCTCTGAGATCCGAAGTGTGACGTCTCCAAGAAACCGCTGAGTGCAAGTGGGTCAAGTGTGGCGATGGGAAGATCCCTTTTGCCGCATTTCGCTTTCAAGACTTTCACCCTCAAGCTGAAATGGAGCTTCAACGGGTCAAATGGAGTCGATGCTGAGTGCTTTGGCATAAAGCTCAAAGATAAGAACAGGATCCAACAGGAGATGAGGAAAATGACGGTAAGATAGTAAGGCCTCGTTTAAAGGGACCTTACCGCCTTAATTTGGTTCACTTCTTTTTGGATACTTTTCTTCTCCTTGAGCTTTGGTTTAGCCTGTGGCCAAGTTCCATAAATCTAGCAGCTTGCTTGACTGCCTCGCAGCTACCAGCTCTACTCCTTTGTTTGCTCTCTGGTCAACTGAAGCAAGTGCATGGATTTGGGCACGTTGCATCCATTTGCATCCTTTTTCGTTGCTTATTTTTTAACATCATTCAGTTCGTCACATTGAGCTTTCGAAACGATCAATTTCAGAAGACTCTCATGCCGGAAAATGCTGGACACTTGGAAGAGCTGACATTTGGAGCGACTCAGAGGAACCTAATAGCAATGGCCTCCAACCTACTAGTGATGGCCTCCAACCTAAGAGCGATGGCCTCCAACCATTATTTTAAAGGATTCTTGACATTGATTCGTGTGGAGCGTCCCCATCACGACCAGATCAGGCTAAGCTGATTCTTTGAGTCCAGATCTCAGTATGCATGATTCATGAAATTGTGCAATGTGTTGGTAAGACACATATGAAGATTCATGTCATGCTTCTACGCTTAGAAAATAATGCACGTGATATGTATGCTGTCCTGACACAACTTACTTTGTTGTCAAGAGCTGGCTGTCTAAGGAAATGGCGGCCCTGTCCAATCCTCAATGCCGCAGCCACCCTTGTTTCCTTAAGCTGCTTTTTAAGCCATTGCAGCCAGTTCAAGCTGTTCATACAGCGAAAGAAGAAGAGATGCTCTAGAAATCTTGCAATTTGTGTTTAAGAACTGCAGAGACAAGAATCAAGGCCGCCTTATCTGGGCTTTCCACAAGAGCAGTCCGTCTCATAGACCTGAGCACATGAAAACACCGCACTCCTGAATCACCACTTAAGCGTTCATTTGTTTACATTGCTTGAGAGCAGTTTTTTGGTCTCGCTTCTAAGCTCAGTGACCTGAGGTTTCTGAGTTGCCCACCATACCAACATTTCCAACTTGCACAGTCTGACTCCAATGCAGCTTCTGGCTTCTCTGAGTTGCGCTTGGTATTGGTATAAATTTCATGATATTTGAGCGTGCAAGCTTGATATCTTCTGCGATTGCTGTCTTAAGCTCAAACAAACTACTGGTGGCTTCGCCGGTTCTGAACAGGGTGGTTCGCTGTCCTTTTTTGCCTGATTGAAGGCTGATGTCGACACCAGAAACCGGTGAGATGCAGGAAGTCAACCAAATGTACTATTGGATTTCCAAAGATGGGACTTGGTGGGCTTCGCCCTATCCGTCCTATCCCTCACAGCCTCAGGAGAAGGATTCGGTCGAAGGATTCGCTCCAAAGACGGCGCAAGGCCCGGTGGAGACGTCAGATCGCACAGAGGTGCCCCGGCACATTCACTGGTGTTTTCACTAAGCTTTTCTCCAATTGATAAATTTTACACTTTTTCTTGTTTCAGTCACAGTTTGCATGAGGTACCAGAGGAAAGCGATATGGTGGAGGGCCGCCTCAGTGCTAGTGCTGCTCGGCGCCTTCGTCGCAAGCGTGCTGCTGAACGATCCAGAGAAGCACGACCTGAGACTGACACAGTTTACAAAGAAACACACAATGAAGGACAGGACCATATGATGGTGCAAGCTAGTAGGTTGGGAGGCCATTGCTATTAGGTTGGAGCGAGGCCTTTTGCTAATATTCTCCAGGACCATTTGGTGCAAGCAACTCTCGTGACCTGACACTTGATGAACTCCGCGATGAGCTTCATCGAAATCCGGTGCAGGGCATACAATGTTTGCGGGGACAGGTTTGGCGCCTGTCGCGCGATGCAGTTGGCTGTCGACTCGTTCAAGAAGCACTAGAACTCGGCAGCAAAGGAGTAGTGGATTTGGCGCATGAGTTGCAGGGCCACGTCCTCGAAGCAGTGATGTGTCCAAATGCTAACTATGTGGTGCAAAAGGTAGTATCACACTTATCTGTGGCAGCAAGCAGCTTTGTCGCCTGGGAACTTCAAGGCAATGCGGTGCGTGCAGCCAAGCATCGTTTTGCTTGCCGCATTTTCTGCCGACTTTTGGAATTCTGTGGCACTGGCCCAACCTCTCAACTGGTTGATGAGTTTCTCGATGCTGCCGAGGAAAACCTTTGCACGCACAGCTTTGCGCACCACGTGGTTCAATCCATTTTGGAGCATGGTGAGGAGCGGCATAAGAGGCTCATTGCCAAGATGTTGATGGCAGATCTTTGGAAGCATGCGACGCACAAGAACTCCAGCTATCTCATAGAGAAAGCTCTTTGCTATTGCGACGATGAAGATCAAAATTCTTTGATTGCCAATCTGGGGTATCCACAGGCTTTGCCTTTGCATTCCATGTGCAAGATAGATCCCGCCTAGTAGTAGTTCACTTTCGATGTAAAAGCTTAGTCGAGTTGACTTTGTCCCCAGAGATCTCGAGCAGGCCCTATTGGACTTGGCCATGACGCAGTATGGAAGCTTCGTTGCACGAGCACTGCTCCAGGACAGCCGTGTGAATGCTGATCTGGCAACACGTCATATTCGACGTCATCAAGGAGATTTGGAGTCCACAAAGCATGGGTTGCTTGCACACAAAATAAGATGCGAGGTTGTGCTTCCGACTGTGGTAACCAGGTCTAGCCACCTGTCAATGTCTAATCAGTTGCTTGCCATGCTAACAAGATCTGACATGATGCAACTGTTGGTTTGACGACATCCCTCATTTGAGGCATCGCTTCCTCATCGATATTGGTCTTGAGCAGTGAAAGCTGTGAGATTGTCCTTTTGCCCGTTGTGGCGTCAACTAGCCCGTTGCGGTGTTTGTACAGATTGGCCCATCGGTTTGAGTTTACTATATACGTATGCGGCATTTCAGTGAGATTCTTGTGACTGTGTCTCAACCTTCCAAACCCCTGAGCCAGTACAACTCATGTACAGCGCATGGCATGCCAGAAAAAATGATCAGGTGTTGTTCTTGATCTTGTTTGGTGAGGGTTATAATTTGCTTAGATGAAATCCAAGGACCAGCCACTTGCCACAGGCCGACATGGGTGCCTTTGTGACTCACGTGACCGATCAACTGGCACCGACAGGTCTTCTTTCCGCCTCTCTTCCCACCGCCGCAGCCTGACTCAAGGGGCAAAGCCGGAGCAAAGCCCCCACCAACTGACCCTGCCAAGCTTGTAGGCAGGCCTTTCCATTTCAACCACAAGCTCAGCAAGCTCCTGCAAACGGAAAGAGCCTCAGGGTTTTGAGTCTTGAAGTGAAGTCGACAAAACGTGCACAACCAAGTTAATGAGCTGATTTGAGGCCTTGCAACTTTTGGCCTCGAAGTCCAAGTACAGGACCCGACTGACAGACCGACAGACCAGCTTTTAAACCCCGCAGATTGATCTCACTCTCAGATGCACGGCGATGCAGTGGGAGACAAAACCAAGTTCTTCTTTTCCCCGTTCAGGATGACACTGATGAATCCTCCTCAGGCTCGGGTGTGGGGCAGGAAAACAAAGATTCTAAAGGAATGAAAACAGGTCTGCTATCAGTTCTAGGGTTTATCCGGTTCGTTGTGTTTCTCCTTGGTTTCCATTGTTTCCTTCGATGATCTTTGATTGCTTTTGTTCTTTGTCCTTCTTCCCTTCAACCGCTGCGCATTGCACTTTGCTTCACCTCAGGGGAAGAGGAAACCGAAGCCGTCCAGAAACGCCGTCGCAAGCGTCGGCGCAAGCGCAAGCCCAGACCCCAGAGAAGGCGACCTCAGGTCACCGAATGGCCCAAAAATATTCAGAGTCTCAGAGAGTTTCAAAAGGCGCTCATCCGGAGACTTTGCTCTTTCCGAGGCCTAGACCTTTGAGAAAGAAGCCTGGTCCACAATGATCAAGCTTTCACTTAGCACAAGGGACTGGGATGGGGGTCTCAGAGTTCGTCACCGACAGCGAAGGCCATTGCCACCAGCAGAAGCTACTTTGGAGGCGAGCAGAACTACGAATCAACCGAATCATTCCCTTCGTCTTGCGGCATCAAACTACAACCTGCCAGCTAAATCATTACCCACAAGAGTAAAAATGCAGTATTTGGTCAGAGATGGTCAGAGTCTTGAACCGTTTGTCTAATGTCGGGCCAGTGTCACCATAACACAGGATAATACAGCTAGGCAAGTTCTATCTGTCTAAATCGTTAGAACCGGATAAAGTGGAGTCTTTCGGGCAAGCCTTGAATATTTTCCCGGAGCCACTTTGCACAAGCTTGTACGGGGCCAATCCGGGTGTAAGCCATATGAGCATTGAAGAAGAGCTTGTTTCCAGGCTTCTAGGTTGGAGGTCATCGCTATTAGGGGGAGGCCATCGCTAGTAGGTTCCCCATCCGGGGGTTTGGTGTCGCCGTCATTTCACCGCAGAGCGCAGAGTATGCAACTTGCATCAACTTGCGGCATTTCTTTCAATGGCCTCCACCCTAGTAACGATGGCCTCCATCCTAGCAATGGACTCCAACCTAGCGATAGCCTGCAACCTGATAGGAATGCCCCCAATAAAGCCAGGTCGGTCATTTTCTGGGTCGCTAGTAGACGGGAGCGAACACTTCATTCCATTTCAATGTCAAGTTTGCGGAGGAATTTTGCTTTCAACTTAGTAGCGTCCTTGTTCCTAGTAGTAAGGCCAGGAGCCCCTAGTAGCGTCCTTGCTCCTAGTAGCGATGCCCTTTGCTCCTAATAGCAAACATTGCTCCTAGTAGTCTTTTTAAGAAAAACCTTTAGACATTTCTCAATCTTAACAAATGCGCTTTCAACATTGGCGGAGTGCTTTCAGGAGGTGC